CAACAACCTATGAGAAAACCTATGGGGACGAATTCAGCACAAAAACACCAGTTGGTAAAATAGTTTCTTTTATTATCAGCGCAGTTGTCTGCTGCAACTGCAAGGAATATACATCGAATCCAACCACAACGTTAATATTTGTGGTGACTAGAATAGATAGTTGATGAAACTGCGGTATTTAAAACCTCTACTCACGTTGTATAAAATAATTTAGTAAATATGACCTAGAAAAAGTTGCCGTGAAACACGTTGAGAATGATTTTGAAAATAAAAGTTTGAAAACAATAAAATTTTTCTTATAAAAAGGAATTAGGGGGAAAGTCTGTGCAATAAAATGATATAAAAAGTTCTTCTATAAAATTTACCCTCTAGCTACGGAGGCGCCACCCTTATAAAGCGCTTTCCTACGGACACTTTTATACAGTCTGTTCTCCTTACCTCCACACTCAATATTTCATTTATTTCTTTAGGCTACTGCGGCAGTATACTGGCACTCCATAACGGAACAAATTTTTCACCAGAGAGAGCGCTGAGCAGTGCTCGTAGTATATATGGAACACGGCCTTTCTATCTACATCCAGTGCTGTCACCTTAGTTTTTAAAAAGGGGCAGATAGACTATCTAAAAAGGGCTAGATACAGAAAATTCTGCCATCAAAAGAGGTGCTAGAAAAAGCTAAAAATATTTTTTTTACGGCGTATGTCTGTTGGATAAAACTTTCAAAACAAGAGTGCAGTCTTCGATCGAGCATAGGTATGTGTATCTTTTGTCTTTTGTTTTAACGGTCAAAGAAGAAAATATAAACATGAAACATCTTGCAGTGCATATATTTCGGGCCATAACAAATTTAAAAAAAAATGCAATTTAAAAATTGTTTATATTAAAAGTTGTTTATTTTATATATTATTAATAGTATTTAAGTAGGTACTTAAATACCATTAAAATTCACTTATTAAAATTTTAACCAAAATCGGAGTCGCTATCGGAATCATCTGAAACTATAACTGCTGAAGCAGAAGAAGTTGATGGCTGACTGACATCTGCGTTTTTTATTAATTTGAAGGAGTAGTTTTTGTGTTTTTAACAGTGGTAGAGCCACGCCGCCACGCGGCAGCCCTGTTACACGCATGGGCCGGCTCAAACCGGGGTGGTACCACGACCTCACAGAATACAAGCGTGAAGTAGAGGCTTTGCTTCCCAATCCCCAATCCCCCCCCTCCATCAACATGGTAGCGGAATTAAATGCAAGACTACCCCAAGAGGGTACTAGAACCCCTGGAGAATCCCTCGCTAAGCACCCACGACCAAGCTACTCCACTGCGCTCAGGCTGCCCCGCGTATTCTGGGGGTTGGGGGGCAAAATTCCGCTCGAGACTAAACCTGCTCGGGGCAAACGGAGCAATAAGTCAAAGGCGCCCCCTGCTTTGCTATCCGTGAGTTTCTGTAACATCAGGGGACTTCATTCAAACCTTAACGCCATCCACTACCATCTGGAAACGGCGAAGCTGGCCTTGCTCTTTCTAACCGAGACACAGGTGTCCCCTCCAGCTGATGCTTCGTATCTCTCCTACCAGGGGTACAAATTAGAACACTCTTTTGTGCCCTGGGCTGAAGTTAGCGTGTATGTCAGAGATCTGTATCCAACGCCTCGGCAGCCTTGAAGGTACGAACTGTCCATATTATGGCTGCGCGTAGACAGCGACAACCATCCCGGCGTCTACGGGTGCCTCTATAGGTCCCATAGCGGTAATGCCGAAACAGACCGACTCATCGACCACGTCCAGATGGCTACAGGCTCCGTGCTACAACAGATCCCATCCACAGAGATCGCGATACTTGGAGATTTTAACGCCCACCACGCTGAATGGCTTGGTTCTCGTTTAATCGATCATGCGGGTAGATCTGTTTATGACTTTGTTTTGGGCATATGGTCTGACACAACTGGTTACCTCGCCTACGCGGATCCCAGATGTGGAAGATCATGTACCTTCCCTGTTGGACCTTATGGTGATCTCTCATTCGGACAGATATCAGGTCTCCGTCGATGCCCGTCTTGGCTCCTCGGACCATCGTCTGATCCGGAGTACGGTGCCACTCACGCACTCATCGCGGTTGCGTACTGCAGGTTGCCACCATGTTTGGCATTATAGATCAGCAGACTGGGACGGAATGCGATCTTTTTTTTCATCCTACCCTTGGGGGCGGCTTTGCTTCACGCCGGATGATCCCAGCATTGTTGCTGATTCTGTCGCTGATGTGGTGCTACAGGGAATGGAACTTTTTATTCCATCACCTGTGGTACCTATCGGAGGCAGAACCCAGCCTTGGTTTGGTCGCTTCTGCAAAATTGCACTACGTCACAAGCAGGAGTGCTACCAGGCCTGGGCTCACGCATCCACGTCTTGGGATGCAAACACCAGCGCTCTTAAAAAGAAGTACAATTTTGCCTCCGGGTCCTCCAAAGAAGTCATTGTCAAGGCAAAGTCAGAGCACATCGGCAGATTTGGCAAGAAACTAGTTCGTCTTCCTTCGAGAACACGTGCATTCTGGTCTCACGCCAAGGCTGTCCAAGGGAACTTCTGTCAGCCATCTCTCCCATCTCTGCACAGGGAGGACGACTCACTGGCCTATGCCGCAAAGGACAAAGCCGATCTGGTGGGCTTTCTCATTGCGTCCAACTCTACTATTGATGACGGAGGGAACACACCGACGACCATTCCGCGGAGTGAGTGATGTCCTGTTTACCCAACGCTCAGTGCGCGGAACACTCCTCTCCCTGGACGTCAACAAGTCGAGTGGAGCGAATGGCGTCCCTCCTATTGTGCTGACTACGTGTGGTCCGGAGTTGGCACCGGTTTTAACGCGTCTTTTACGGTACTTCTACTCCTTCGGCGTAGTCCCGAAATCATTGAAGAATGCCGAAAAAGGTAACCGCTCTGATCCGTCCAACTATGGGCCTAGCGCCATCACCTGCTTGTTCTCTAAAATAATGGAATCCATTATTAACAGCCAGCTCATGCGGTACCTTGAAGATCACCGTGACCGCCAGTACGGTTTCCGTCGCGATCGCTCGGCTGGTGATCTTCTGGGTTACCTAACTCATAAATGGCCGGAGGCAGTGGAGTCCAAGAGGCGTTGGCCGTTAGTTTGGACATAGCGAAGGCCTTCGATCGGGTTTGGCACAAAGCGCTTGTTACAAAGCTTCCTTCCTATGGGCTTCCCGAGAAATTGTGCAATTGGATCACCAGTTTTCTTGCTGATCGGAGCATCAAGTGCATGCTCCGATTACAAGCCCATTAATGCTGGTGTTCCACAAGGCTGCGTGCTATCACCGACGCTGTTTCTTCTGTATACCAATGACATGTTGCAAAGCGGTAACATTCATTGCTATGCAGACGACAGCACTGGTAATGTTTTATACACCTGCCCTGCCAATATTACAGAGTACCGGGACAAACTTATGTCTGAAGTCGAAACTTTGTTGAACAAAGTCTCGGACTTGGGGCGACTAAATCTAGTCCAGTTTAATCCCCAGAAAACACAAGTTTGCGTGTTTACCGCTAAAAAAAACACCCTTCGTCGTATCTCCTCAGTTTCAAGGCACTCCCCTTGTTGCTTCAGCCAGTGTTGGAATCCTCGGCGTTGACATATCGAGGAACGTGCAGTTTCGTGGTCACTTGGAAGAGAAGGCCAAATTGACCTCTAAAAAGCTTGGCGTGCTCAGCAGAGCGGGACAGTATTTCATGCCGGCTCATCGCCTGCAACTTTACAAAGCGCAGGTTTGGCCGCACATGAAATACTGTTCTCATCTCTGGGCTGGGGCTCCCCAGTGCCAGCTCCTTCCATTTTATCGCATCCAGCGCAGAGCTGTTCGAATCATCGGCGACCAAGCTCTTTCCGATCGGCTTGACTCACTGGCACTGCGAAGAGATGTTGTATCTCTTTGCGTATTTTATCGCATCTACCACGGGGAGTGCTCTGAAGAATTGTTCTGACTAATTCAAGCCACTCAATTTCACCATATGACATAGCGACAAAACTCACGATATCATTCATACCATCTGGGTAACTGGCGGTCCACCACCGTGCGCTGTAAAAGAAGTTTTCTTCCTCGCACAACTTCCTTGTGGAATCGACTACCACCAGAGATTTTTCTGGACCGGTACGACTTAGGGACCTTCAAGAAAAGAGCCTACTCCTTTTTAAAAGGCCGGCATTGCGTCTGCAGTTCCCCTGGTGTTGCAGTTGCTCATGGGCGGCGGTAATCACTTACTATCAGGTGAGCCGTATGGTCGTTTGATCCCTCTCCTATGGAAAAAATAAAGTTTGTTCCTGATTTTAGTCATAATTAGGTTCATGGAACAAAAATCGCGTTCAGCATTAGCGTTCATTCGAAGATAATGATAAAATAATTTTCGCCAAGTTCCGAAGCTCTTGGTACAAGTTGATTCCAGTAGGATCCTTGTGTTTGAAAACTTCGCACCAAAATTTGATGGTGGCGTCTTTGTTCTCCCAGTCGTGTTCTCCGATATTTCTGTGTAATAAAACTATATCAATATTTTATTAACAAACAAAATGCTTCCGCAAGTTGAACCATGCGTGATACAGCCTTGTTGCGCTTGAGCGTCTCTTTAGCAGAAAGAGGCGTCGTTGTCTCCAAATATTTGAAATTATCTGGCAGGCGGAAGATTTCGTATCGTGTAAAAAGAGCTAGATTGCTCTTTTAGAGCTAAAACTTCAAATAACGAGTTCACTACTGTAATAAGTGCTAGATCTAGCCCGAAAAGCGCTAAGGTGGCAGCACTGTCTACATCTGTCAGTTTCAGCTGTATTTGTTTCTCTATGGTACTGTATTTGTAAATACCAGGTTTTGACTTATATTGTTCTAATTAGGCTTTCGTATATACACTCTTATTGATATAAGAAGGTAAAATATAAGACAATTACAACACTTAATAGTATCGCAAATTGTACCTTATCTAGTTGGAAGGGAAATTAACATGATTCTCTTATCATTCCAGGTACAGAAACATAACCTCTTTTTAACTTAATGCAAAATCTTTGTTGTTGTTATATTATAAATGCTAAATCATTAGAATAATGCATTAAATACTAACTTTTTTCTTTCACAGAAAAAAATTACCAGACCTTTAACGTTACTTATACGTAGGACTCACAATCAAAGTGTTATTATTAATGAAAGTGATGGAATTAGAAATATTATCTTAAACGATGAAAAAACGAAGTTAGTATTTTTTTAATATTGTTGTAAAGGTATTTGTTAACTTCTATCTAACCTGTTGTTTACAATACGCAGAAATTCGTTATCACTAAATATGATGAACAATTTAATAGATGCATTAAATGCCAATAAAGAAGATATATCTTTGCGGGCTATTGTATTATCAGCAAAGAGTCATGTCTTTTCAGCAGGACATAATTTAAAGGAGTTAGTAAGTAAACATTATTAAATACACCAAAAATGTTAAGTTATGCTATTTATTCCCAATTAAATGAATTACATAATTTAAATAAAATAGTCTATTGGCAAAACCCAGAAATAGGGTGATTTTATTGTCAACAACGGAGCCTCTGACTGGTACAGGCACTGGCACGGTTCTCAAAGCTGAGCTGAGCAACAGCAGTGGGGATGCATACACCGATGCATGAAATTAATTAGCCTGATTTGCAACATTGAATAAATTTAAGAAATCATTATCTGATTTGCAACATTTAATTATTCACTGAGTTATCTTTAAAATGATTGTTTATATTTTTTTATTATGCTTAGAATACTATAATATAAGCAATTGTATAATAGAAATTACTGCTAAATAATTTATTTCAAGTAATTTCGAAGTAATGTTATATATCTTAGTAATGGGTACGTAATTAAAATATAAAACAAGTCCTGTCATATTATTAAAGCTGCACAAAGAAAATAATCATAATATTCTTTTAATTCTGTTGTCACTATGTGCAAAGGAGCTATAGTCCGTTCGCATTAATAAAATTGTGAGTCATCAGTGCAACTACAGGGTAAAGGTGTATTCACAGTGGAGTAAAAATTCTTTTTTTTTTCAAACATTTAATTAAGTTTAATGGAAACAAATTTTCTTAAAATTACTTAAATCACTAATCAGTATCGCTAGATTCTCCAGTTACATTAATTATGAAAGAATTTTGTTCTGTAAGTTCCATGATGTCATCCAAATTCCACATGGTATTTTCTTCATGTATCACATGGTCGCAGCACTTCTTCCAATAATTAGCGTCTATTAATGCTATTGCGTCATCTAATAATTTTTATTAGATGACGCATAGCCTAAACCAATTCAATTGGATTAAGTTTGCAATGGTAAGGTGGTAGGCGAAGAATTGTAATGCCATTACTTTTGACAGTCTCATCTATTAAATATCTATTATATTGTGGGGCGATTTCGGCAACTTTCTTTAATAATTCTTTTTTTAAAAAAAAGTCATGTCCATGGATTTGCCTTTGCTTTGCAGCCAATCTATTATTTGCTGCTTGTTCCGGCTGGTTGTTGGTATTTTTTCGACTCTTACCGAATGATAGGGAGCGTTATCCATGACAACCACACTTCCTGGTTAAGAAATCTTTCATAATCCATCTCTTCATGATAGTCTTATGTAGACTTAGATTCAAATACTAGTAGACCATCTTCCACGAATCCTTTGTTGCTGCCAATGTGCAATACAATTAACCTTTTACCTTTTCCTGTCATAGCTTTTGGACTGGCTGATGATGCTGCCATCTAGAAAGGCTTGTTGTTGTTGCTTCTTGCTTGTCTTTTATTTTTTACCGTTGTATCCAACCATGCTTTTGTCTTTACGTGTCTGGCGTTTACCCACGTTTCGTCAAGATAGTAAATGGTTTTATTAACGGCTCTGTATTGTTTTATTGCCTCAGATATTTACGCCCTCATAAAACAATATCTTCTCTTTCGACTAACAATGTTCTGCTATCCTGTTTATTGAAATCGAAACCAAGCTCGTGCATTATTTTATGAAGTGTGAAGTGTGGTACGTTTGAAAACAGGAATATCTTCGTCAGCTTCGCAGTGTCATAATTTTGTCCAATGTCGGGTAGTCGTTATTTAAATATATTGAGTGAACTTTTCTCCTTATTGCACATTTGTCTAGTTCATCTAATTTATCGACCGTCGATAGTCGAGCTCTTTTTTTCACGGGTGATTTTAATGTGTTAGTATCCTTTTGTTCTTTAATAATTTTATAAACAGTATTTTCGGACACACCACATGCACTTGCTGTTTTTATTACTGTGCTCTCCACAGTTGCATTTAAATCAGACAGTTTAAAGTTCTTATAAACATTGTAAATTACGCGTCTCTCTCCTCTATGGATTATTGATCCACTTTTATTCTTTCGAATAGGTGAGGTATTCATTTTCAAAATTTAATGTTGAACGAGTAACACGCAAAATACACAACCGTTTTGTTCGAAGGCCTGACTTCAACTGGTCACTGTGAACTCGACTTTCTAATTTCTTGCATTTTAATTGGCTGGGGGGCGTGGCCAGATGCGGCCACGCCCAACCGGCGGACAACGATGACTCACTATTTTCTTATAGGTTTATAGATGCTTGTAACACTTTGTCATCACCAGAAGTACTCACTCATCTGCTCATCATGGTCCAAAATCGCTATCTGAACTGCCATCATCAATTAGAATAATAATCTAGTAATTTCTCTCTTAATAGTGTCTACGGTTCAGCGGTATGGCAGGATTTGAGAGGTCAGGCATATTATATGGCCCCAATAGTTTTGAATAGAATCTGCTTAGAAGCAAAGGAATTTATTAATTCATTACAGCATATCATAAGGCCATCGCGTAACATGTACTTCCCTTGTAGATACCTCTTAGGAGGGATAAATACAATATTTAGTAAGTGGTTTTAACAGTGGTAGAGCCGCACGGTAGCTTTGGCAGTTGCACATATGGTCCGGCTCTGCACTGTGCAAACAGAGTGATAAAACCATGGCAACCCCTATCACTGAAATGAAAACGTTGAAACCAAAAACGTACCATACTTTCTTTTGCGACAGCAGCGCCGTACGCATCATTAATCCTTCGAGCTGTTTCTACAGCACTGGTGCCACGGTAGAACACGTACTCGTAAATATACCGATATTTCATGTTTTCCATTGTGCGGTAATAAGCGAAGCCAAGGAAAAAAATAATGAGGAATAAACAAATGAATGTCTGTTTTCAAAACTCAAATACCAAGTACTCAAGTACCAGCTAAATGAATTTATAAATTTGAATTTGGAATTCTTAACCAAAGAGGAGATATTTAAGATCTAAGTGGTCAGTACGACAAAACGCTAATTTCATATGTAAGGCCTATATATCAAATATTGACATAGGTATCTATTTTATATATTTATTACATATTTTGCAATTCCAACATATATAACTTACCCTTTTCTAATTATTACCTTGAAGTTGTTATATTCCTTAGTCTATACTGTTCACTAAGATAGTGTAAGTACACCCGGTAGCGCACTTATTTTTTATTGTTTGTTAAATAAATGTTTTTCTATTCTAATAATAAAATAGAATACTATTTTATTCTTGCGTTTATTGTAGTAAAATACGAATATAAATAATAAACACAAGTAAGGTAGCAAAGAACTTTTGAGCGATTAGTTTTAAAAAGCCATAATCTCCTGCGGGTGTACGCCACACGCCTTTGTTTCCGCGGCGGCGCCTTTGACAAAATGCGGCAAGTGCCAAGACAGCACAACACAAAGGCGACCATATCTAATAAACTATACTCTATAGGGTAAAAATGTAAAGCCGACTTCAATTTACTAAAAGAATAATTTCCACATATTAGCTTCCGAAGTCGGGGTTTTTCTAAGTTTTTTAAGTTCCAACAGTACAAAAATGATTCGTGATAGTTGCCTTACGCTCGCTCAGTCACGCATACAGAGAGAAAATTGTAGTGTGCGACAATATTACGCCGTTCTAGAGACATCGCGTAGATTTTGATTTGTGCATATTTGAACATATTACTTTTAATGTCTTTTGTATAGGATTTTTTTAGATTACAAATTATTATTTTGCGAAATAATTGCCTCCAGCAAACGATCCCCATCCGAGTTCCGCAATCGCACTGCTGTTTTGAATTTGGTTTAATTCAATAATGGGATTTTTTAAATTTTTTTTGTAATGTAACTTTGGCGGTAATTGCTTAATATTTCGATAGTCTCCTATTTTACCAGATAAATAATAAAATTTAAATCAATATTAATTATCTATAATCGTAGTTTTTGATCTCGGCTAATGAAATAATTCCACCGCCTAATAATACGACAAATTACCTATTCAGGTGTGCGATGAGCGAAGGTCATGCTTTTAGATCCGTGCTGGTACTTTTAATGCTGTACTACAATCCATAATCTACATAGATGGCACGAAATCTTTTTATTTTGTAAAGATTAGACACATTTAATGACCCTTGCCTACCGTGCCCTGCATAGTGAACCTTTAATGAACATTTAATGAAATATGAATTTCTTACTTTTACTACTAATAAATTAATGCAAATAAAATATATTATACAATCATTTTTCCTTCTTATTTTTACAGCAGGTCTGTGATGGAATAGAACAGCACAAATTGATTTTTAGAAAATCAACAGAATTAATGCAATCTATAATTCAGAGTCCAGTACCAGTTATAGCTAAGGTATATTATTATAGAAATAATTTTAGAATAATAGTAATAAGTGAAGTAAAACCGACATAAACAATAAATTGCTAGGGTTGTCAGAACGGGAAGTAATAAAAAAATATATAAAACTAATTTTAATTTCTATCACGTTTCAACTAATTCCTGTGTACGTGGAAATTGATGAAACTTTAGTTCCTTATCTTTAAATATGGACGACCCACAGTTTTACCGCACATGTAGTGTGAACAATTTTAATTTATTTGCGTAATAAGACACCCCTAGCGGACAACTCTCGAGCGACTAATGGGAGCGCTCCACCCGCATCTATGTCCGCGTCGCACGTTAGTAATAGTAAACTGTGACGGAGGCCTTGCGGGGCAGTGAGCGCCGCGACTATGTTCTAAAGTACTTATTTAACTAATTTTAGTGCCGATTTCAAATCGGCATCGGCTGACATCAAAGGCGTTTCCAAACTGTAGTATAGTCTGTTCGCTTAGAGTATCGGTACACCTGGAGACGTACTTATTATTTGGCTTTTCTTTTGTTATTTTTATTATGTTTGATAAATAAATGTTTTTTTTTCTATTTTAAGAATAAAATAGAATACTATTTTATTCTTATGGTAATTGTTATAAAATACGAATATAAATAATAAATACAAGGTAGGTTGCAAAGAACCTTTCATTACGGTGCTGCGTTTTAAAATGCCAAACTCAAATTCTCCTGCGGGTGAACTTTGATGTCGCGGCGGCGCCTTTGAAAAGACGTGGCGCGATATGAAATGGTTCGTCATCATACATTTTATGAGAAGTGTAGAAAAGTACTTACAGGTTACCAGTTAGCAAGGAATATACTACTCTCTAATGAGAGCCGGTTAGTATAACAAAACCACCACCACATATATGAACTCAAGTCCTAGGAAAGAGAAAATAAGTCTCAACACATTAACATGTTATTTCTAAATAAAAAATTATTGTGTATATATAACCAACACGACAGCCTGAGAATCCGATCGAGCTATGTACTTGAATAAGAACTATTCAATCAAGTTGGTATGAATTTTTTAATCCTGACCAAATACTCGATCGAAGCTAATTGCAATTTGAGCCTTGAGTTCAAATCAAATTTGATTGATTTAAATATCGAATCTGTAGGGAGTAGGCCTGCAGATTTTCGATTCTTAACAGTCATAGCAAAGCGGTCATTTATTTTGATTAAAACTACTTTTACGGATTTTATTTATTTTTAATACCCGACGTTTCGGGTGCTTTCCAGCACCCATGGTCACGGGGGACTGAGGTGACTGACGTCCCGATGTCAAAGTTAACCCGGAGTACCTTTAGCTTTTTAATTATTGTCTTTGGTCCGATCTACGCAGAATGAACTTTTTTATAGAAGAGGGGGCAAACGAGCATGCGGCTCACCTGATGTTAAGTGACTACCGCCGCCCATGATCAACCGCAACACCAGGGGGAATTGCAGGTGCGTTGCCGGCCCTTTAGAAAGGAGTAAGCTCTTTTCTTGAAGGTCCCCAGGTCGTATCGGTTCGGAAAAATCGTCGGTGGTAAACTATTCCACAGAGGTTGTACGCGGAAGAAAACTCCTTTTGAAACGTACTGTGGTGGACCGCCAAGCATCCAGATGGTGTGGATGGTATCGGGATGTTTGCCGCGTAGTGCGTTCACGAAATTTGGCGGCTGGGATTAATCCGAACAATTCCTCAGAGCACTCTCCATGGTATATGCGAAATAAAATGCAAAGAGATGCAACATCTCTTCGCAGTGCCAATGAATCGAGCCGATCGGAAAGCACTCGGTCGTCGACGATTCGAGCCGCTTTGCGCTGGATGCGGTCAAGTGGAAGGAGCTGGTACTGGGAAGCCCCAGCCCAGAGATGGGAACAGTATTCCATGTGCGGCCGAACCTGCGCCTTGTAAAGTTGCAGGCGGTGTACCGACATGAAATACTGTCCCGCTCTGCTGAGCACGCAAAGCTTTTTAAAGGCCAATTTGGCCTTTTCTTCCAAGTGACCACAAAACTGCACGTCACTCGATATGTCAACGACGAGGATTCCGATACTGGCTGAGGCAGCAAGGGGAGTGCCTTGAAACTGAGGAGATACGACAAAGGTGTTCTTTTTAGCAGTTAACGGCGCAAACTTGTGTCTTCTGGGGGTTAAACTGTATGTATATAATATATATACAAGGTGTTAGTATAAACACCGTTGTCCTTGAAACTAGTGGTTTGGTTTCACTTATAGAACGTAAATTCAATGAATATAAAAAAAGACACTATTTTCTTTCATAAAATATAAAAAGTTTCTGTCCGACACCGTCCGTAAATTCATGGATACCCTATGCGTCCGATTGACGTAATCACTGTAAAGATCACCGCCCGCGCTAGCTACCTACAGAACGTTCCAACAAAAACACAATAGGTACACATAACCTGTGATGTAACTTTTCATTCATACTTTCATCGTAGCTTAGGACAGGCAAAAATTGAGATTGAGAAAATTGAGATTTTACTAAAAAAAAATGTTGTTATTTTTCATTGAATTTACGATCGATAAGTGAAACCAAACCACTGGTTTCAAGGACAACGGTGTTTACACTAACACCCTGTATAACCGAAATAAAAATAATCATGGTACATTTTTATAATATATCCCTTACTTTTAACAGGTTAATGGATTTGCTACAGCTGCTGGGTGTCAATTGGTTGCCACATGTGATATGATCATATGTTCAGACACAAGCAAATTTTCTACACCAGGGTATTTAAATTTCATTTAATATCAATACCACAAGAAATTATGATATACTTACTTAACTAAGTTTTGTGATATTCAGGGCTAATTTCGGAATATTTTGTTCAACGCCAGGAATAGCTATTGGAAGATCAGTACCTAAATCACGAGCAATGTATATGTTACTTACAGGTGTACTCATTTGTTTTAACCATTATTTATAAACATTTTGAAGTTAATTATTAAAACAATGCCCATATTTATTTTTGCTTATGCATTACAGGTAAACCTATTTCAGCTCAAGAAGCGTATGATAGTGGCTTGGTAACTAAGGTAGTATCTGCTGAAAAACTAGATGATGAAGTAATGAATATAATTGACCAAATTAAACAGAAGAGTCGCTCAGTGATAACCTTGGGAAAACATTTCTTTTACAAACAAATTAAACTTGACTTGTTACACGCATATAAATTAGGTGAAGAAGTAATGGTCAACAACATTAATATGGATGATGGCCAAGAAGGTATCCGAAGTTTTGTTGAAAAACGTAAAGCCCATTGGAGTCATAAGTAAATTAAAAGTAAATAAAATATAATTAATTTTTTAAGCTTACATGCTACTGGGATATTATTAAAACAAGACAATTTTGTGCAAACAAAAGAAAACAATAAGTTTTTATTTACACCTAATTTTTAATTTGCAATTTAGAATACATCTCCAATGTATAAAACGGAGCATTTAAAAGCAGGACATTGAATTACTTTACAAAATATCAATAAATTATTAATTTGGCCAAAAAGACATTTTACATAATATTATACACAATACTCACATTGCAAAGTTGTGCTGTTGACTAACATTTGTCATCATACTTGTTGCTATTAGTACCATTCAGAAGATATTTTTATCACTTCCTATCCATATATAAAATTATTAATGATCATAAGTGTTTATCAATACATAATGTGCAAAACTTCTTTTATTATTGTCTCTACATACTGTTTTGTCTTAAAATATGGCATTAATGGTGCATAATACAACAGAATTATCAGAAATCTTTATTGAAAAGCAAATATAGTGATATAACCACAAAACTTACAACACTGCAAAATAATAGAATTTGCACTTAAAGGTCTTAAAGTGACTATAATACAGAATATTATAAAAATATATTTGGGTGGTTGGAGGTGGATATGCAGGTACTGTAATAATTAAATGTCAAAAAATAAGACAAAAATCATTTTTCTTTTCATTCTCTCTTCTCTTTAATATATAACTAAAATTTTTAAGCCCAAAATTAAAAATACATACTTATTATTAATCCACAACTTCAAAAAGAATTTTATGTATAGGTTATCCGGGATGTTTATATATTTAACTTAAAAATTAAATCAAAATTGATGAACAATATTCTGTAACCCACAAAAGTAGTTGCATATTACACTTAAATAAAATATGTTTGGTGGCTTTTTCCACTTTATAGATACATGATAAATCTATAGTATAGAAATCAGTATGATTTACATTTCTCTTTGTTTGTATAATAAATAAATTTATATAATACCTATCAATTTAAATGTAACATGTTTTTTTATATATTTATAATTTGGCGATTATTACTCAATTGTTTGCTGATGAGTTATCTAATTCAAGTCTGGAATATAAACATAATAATAATAATTGGTGAAAACTTATACTTGTAAAATCCAACATTGTTAAACATGTTACAAATTTTAAAAATTCTTATAGGAATACAGTCACTGAATCTTTCATTGCACAAAACACATAGAAATGGATATAAATTCAAGAGCTATCAATATACTGTAGAAAAAGACCAAGCCACATATTATTATTAACAATAAAATAGTTACAATATAAATGTATATTGTCTCTTGCGTTCAAGTAATTTGAACTGCATTCACATTATGATAGTTTTTAGCCGATTTGGGAATGTTACATATTCTTGTTCCCAAAGACTGGTTGGGAGTGTTCTCACTTTTTAGCCAATTCATTTGAGAGCCAGTCTAATCCTTCATACAGACCTTGTCCTTGAGTTGCACAAGTAGCTTGAATGTACCACTGGAAATAATTGCGAAAATGTAAGGTATAAATACTAATTAAAAGGAGTATTACAAAAAACGCGAAATTACAAGGTTTCCTCATTGAAATTATATGTTTTTTGTTTGTTGCTCGAAATAACAATTAATTGGAATAATAATTACAATAAGCTCAAGGCAAATTTTAGATAACTTATTTATTTATTTAGTAATAATCATTCTCCCGAGGCATGTTTAGGCCAAAACTCTGAGAGACAGGACTTGGGAGCTCTAATTTATAGATTCTATTGAATATTGACCATCAAAAAAATATTTTTATCTCACCAATACTTTAATAATGATAAAATATATTTTCGTAATATGCCTTTCACGTAAGGAAAAAAATCGACATAATTCAATTAACGACTGAAAAAGCTTCAATACAAGCTCCAATATCTCCGAAATTCTACATTATTTTGACGAAAAATTTATATCAAAATAATCATCAACATTTGCTTAAACCATACTATGATTTTTACTTATTTAATCATTACTATTATTTTTTAATTAATTAAACAAAACTACCATATATTTCCCAGTGCAGGCATTCTGAAATCATTACTGCACGAATGGTTGTCAAGGTTTGACCTGTGTCATTTGTTTCGCGCACTCCGCCTAGTTTCAATATTATCGTAGTATGCGTGAATTGCCTTGGCGCTGCTATTTTATGCCTAGAGCATCGTCAACTACGCCCGTTGTTTTTAATTGTTGGAAGTATTTACTTTCGTACAGTATATTTCAATTAGTACAAAGTTGGCACATTATTATTATACCAGATTTTACTCTTTTTACTGATTAACTCATTATAGTTAATTTTGATTGTAGCTGAGCTTTCTTACCAGTCGGAATGGGGAAAAATAAATACAAGTATCAATGTGCCACGTAAAAAAAGAAATATCCTATCTCTGGAGTAAAAATAATGGAGAATGAAAATGTCTGCATGCTTGCCATATGGACTAGCCCAGATTATGCAGCAAAAGTTTTAAAAATCTACAAAGATAACAAATTTTGGAATTTGGATATGCTATCCAAGTTACAAGTGTTTTATGAAAAATGTTTGTTGACGGTTCTGTGGCGCAGTGGCTTAGCGATGAGTGGCTGCGCTGGGGGTCACGGGTTCGAATCCCGCGAGAAACAAGTATTGGCCTACAAATAATTGTTCCAGGTCTGGATGTTTGTCCTTGTGCAATTTATGAAAATGAAAAACAAAGAAAAGAAGTGTGTACTGCCTGAAATAATTGACTTGAGATAAGCTCATAAGGGGATTTTGCCAAGCATGTTGGCAACCGTAGTTTGTATTATTACACAGTATTTTGAGTTGTTATCAGGAATATGTTGCTGCCCATCTCCATTATTTTATCATCTCTATTATTAAATTTTATCATCAGAAACTTATTCTATAAAAGGTATTTTCAAAAAAAAAACCAGCTATATGTGTAGGTACATAATACTGTTCTTACATAAAATATATTCAATGTATATTCTAAGCTACCACCATATCAACCATACAAATAAATTGCCTAAATTCTTTCCATGATTTATGTTTCAGTATTCGTTTGTGTCATATAGAAAGACAGGTGGCATATGCTAGATTATTGGTTATATGTATTAGTTATCAAATTTGAGTACTGAATCATCATGTTTTCGACGATTAAGGAGGATGAATACATCGCAAAGAAACCTGCAGATCTGAGAAATAAAATCTTTATGAAACAATGTTTCTATGAAAAAAACTGCAGTTGCCAATCCGCTTGTCAAGCGTGGCAACTATGGCAAAACCAATAATTCCCTAATGATGCACTCTATGGTGGAGGCCTACGTTTAGCGGAGGTCTTTTTTAGACTGTAATGGATAGATTGATAATTGGATAGAAAACATGATGTGAAGTTGGTCAACTAATTACTCATCAACCCTCTAAGAAATAGGATGAGGTCTGAGCAATAATGATGATACCATCTCATTTTTGCTCTGTCTCCTCTCTGGGCGCCCTCAGAATAACATAGTGGATATTCTTACACTGCCACCACATACTTATATAAAATAATATTTAGGAATACTCACACGACGGTTTCTTAAATTATTTAAGTTTAAAGCATTTGTAAGTTCGGCTGCAGTCATAGCATTTGGCATATCCTGCTTATTAGCAAACACCAGAATAACAGCATCTTTTAGTTCATCTTCTTTCAACTGAAATAATTACAGCAGTAGAGGTTAATTCAAAAAGTAATATTTTTTATAAAATACAGGTTAACTATCACACTGGCCACCTGATGGTAAGTGGATACAGTGGCCCATAAACTATCTACATCTATTCTTGATTAAGAATCAAAATGCAAATGTATTGTACCCCAACAGAATATATTGCTTTGACTAAAAAGGGTCTCCAGTTATCTACACATTCTCACAGAATACCGACATTATGTCGGCCCATATAATGTGGCCTTTCCTTAGGTAAGTCTACCCATTCATACTACAACCATAAAATTGATGCAACATGGCTCTACCATACATAATATGAAAAAATATATACCGTCATCAATGTATAAAATTAAAACAAACCATATTAGCCAATTCGTTTTCAGCCTCAACAATTCTTTTAGTGTCACTTGAATCAACTACGAATATAAGTCCCTGTGTGTTTTGATAATAGTGACGCCAGAGAGGTCTTATTTTGTCTTGACCGCCAACATCCCACACGGTAAAGCTGATGTTTTTGTATTCGACCGTTTCCACATTGAAGCCAATTGTTGGTATAGTGGTGACTATCTCACCTAACTTTAGCTTATAAAGTATTGTAGTTTTCCCGGCGGCATCTAAGCCAACTATAAACAAAAATTATAGCGATATTAGTCATTAACAATAATTCGCGTAATATTTTGAATTTGTAAGTTTTAATAGACAAACAATCCACGCAATCTTTAAACCGATGAGCTGTCACACGACTCACCCATTAAAATACGCATTTGTTTCTTTCCAAAAAGTCTAGTAAAAACACTTGATATAGTTAGTCCCATCTTTTATATTTTCAAAGGTTTTGAATATTAGAGAAGAAGTCGTTTGATAGAAATAAATAAGTAAAATTATCGGCTCGTTTTAACCGAAATCTCTTGTTGAGAAATGAAAATAAAGATTACTATTATACTCTTTGGATTACTGATGATCTGTCTGAAATTAAAGATACGTGAGTGTGACGTATCGTATAGGGATGTTCGATGATAATCGATGTTAAATATGTAGACATCGATGTTTTAATTTATAAAATGTAAGAGAGCTCTTAATCAAAATTACAAATGTCAAACATCAAAACATCGATGTCAATGAACCAATAATCTATCAATAATTCGCAAGGGTTCGAACCCGTGAAATCCATATCAACTATATATTTCATTTCCTATTAAAGATTTAAAATCTTAAATAATTCAGGATTCCTAAACGCATCGAACATCTAGAAAAAATCATTATAGTGTGTCAAACTCACTATCAAGTGTAAACTTATATGTAACGTATGTAATGTCACAGTTTTCACTGCTTTCGCTTT